TGATGCTCTCCTACTCTAGGGGTATAAGAAAGTCTAAACTTACAAATCGTAGCATGCAAACAATTTGTATGAAAAGATAATCATACAGTCATTATGCGCCGCATCAGATCATTGTTATCTACTTTTGACGGTAACTTCACACTTGGCGGCTTGAAATATAGGACGAACATGGTACTCGAATATTTCCTTGGCTTTGCCTTGTCCTCCAAATGGGTTGATCAACACCAAGAGTCGCTTATGAACTTTTGCACCTTCATAAGCATGGTCCATCAATGTCTCACAGAATGCTTCAGCTTCTTGTGCTTTATCATCAGACACAGTATAATATAGCTCATAGAAATCAGCTGTTGAATCATCGTTACTTCTATCCTCTGGCAATACAAAACGGATCTGAATGGTCTTGGTGCGTTGAATGTACTCGGCATAAAGAATGTACTCATGATCTATTGGAAGTAAGGTTGGGTCTGGTCCTTTTCCTTGAATAACGGGTATACAACAGCATATAATCTTCTTTTTCACTTTTGAGAGAGAATAAGCAAGCTGATGAGATGTTATATATAGTCAAGTTACATTTTTGAGATGCGTTAAAATCGCCTTCGATACGAAGTCCTTGCTCATCACAGGTTAGTTCAACGGGGTGAACACCTTTTGTTACTTTTAAAGTGGTCACCATTAGAGATAAGTTGGTTTGGAATCACCAAAAAGAAAAAGAATAAATAAATGCCCAGGAACGACGTTGGCTGTAGAGCTTCGTACAACAAAATATTGAGTGGCCGACCCGTGCTTATGCGCACTGATCTAGATACCGGTTTTTACCCTAAAACTAGACGGTGTTATTTTTTTCTGGACGAATCAAAAGTAATTTTTAGACACTCTGATTACCTTTTTTGGACAAGATGAGGTACAAGAGTGTCTCTTTTTGACTAAACTGGAGCTATTTCTTAAGCCTAGATTCAAGCAACAGGCCCCTTTTACCTGTTTCCTCATAAGCAATAGTGTCTTCAGCCTTAAGACTGGTGAAATCTCTAAATGTTAATACTTGTATATAATAAAGTTATTCCTACCTTTTCAAATTGGTTTAGCACATTTAGATGATATATTTGAATAAATTAAATGGCCATTCCTATCACAGTGTTGATATATTTGCTGACAACACTTCTCTTTATATTTCTTTTTATCTACCCTACAATCTATGTCTGTAGAAGCAGAACAGGTAAATCGGTTGTGAAAATACTCATATGATACTTATCTAAAATGTAGTCCAACAATACAACATTTTCCCAGTCAGAATATCGGCGTATAACTACAATCAAAACATCGTTAAATGGTATAGGCTGGAAGGAGAACTACAGGGCCACCCTAAATGAATTTGTCTGCAGCGTAAATGATCTTGTAACTCACGGGTTTGCTTTTGCAAAGTTCATATTTCTCAAAGAATTTAACAAAGATGGTGAATTTGACTTCAATAAGTATGTAACAAAGGCATTTTTTCAAGAAGTATTACTGGCACTAGTTGATCGTAAAACCAAGGAAGGAAGACTCGCTGAAAAGACACGAGATATCAGACAATTAATAAACACTTATAAAGACGAATACATCCAGGTGTCAAGTTATATACCAATCACACTGACCAATGCTCAACAAATTGCACTTTATGAAGGGACCAAAATACATACAGTATACATTAATAATGTCGCTCAACATTTTGGTAATAGACTCAGAATGTTTTTAAATCTAATATCAAACAAAAAAGAGAAAATTGAAAATATGACTCAAGAAATGAAAAGCAAAGGTTTTACGGATGAGGAAATCAAAAGTTCAGTAAGGACCCATATTACCAATGTGTGTACCCAGCTCAAGTTGAATGTTTCAGCAAAGAAATTCCCTGATATTCCAGCCAATTTTCTAGATAAAAAGGCGTTAGAACAACTACAACAATTTTTAGATGTTTATCCAGAGCACTACAAATTCAAAAAAGACTCTATCTATTATGATGTGAAATCAAGTCCACAAAATCATTTACGTGCATTTTACACTTTGGCAAAACTTTGTGAAGAAAGAAAGAACAAAAGTTTTACTTGTTTTCCCTTACAAACATCTTTTGTCCCTTGTTATGTCACAATTGACGCCAAGATTTTGAATTACCACATTCTTAAGCGCAAGAGCTTTCCTGTTGGCCAAAAGCATGAACTGTGGAAACAAGTCATCAATTATGATTGTAAGGCAATCAAGTGTTCCACGACAATGAATTTTGAAGGAACTTTAGATACCGATGGAGTTGGTGTGTCCTTACTCAAACAAAACTTTAGCCCTGATCGTAGAGGCACGTTGAATGTTGAAAGAAAGCCCTTAAAAGCTGATAATGACGAATTCCGCTATCTAGAAAGCCTGTCGAAGAAGGAATTAGACAATACTTTAAAGAAATGTGTTCTGATTGATCCAGGAAGGCATGACCTCTTATTCTGTATGCATGAAGATAGTTCAATAGAAGAAAAGAAGCTGTTTCGCTTCACGAGAAATCAGAAGTTAGTAGAAACAAAAGCAAGACGTTTCAATAAGCTTCGAAAATTTATGAAACCGGCTTATATTCAAGAATTAGAAGCAAGTCTATCCAAAATACCAGCAGCAACTGTGGATCTTGTCAAATATACCAAATATATCAAGCGTCGATCTAAAGTTTCACAACCTTTAAAACGGTATTACTCTAGTGAAGGTGAATTCTTGGATAGAAACATCGGCTATGTTTACGAAGATAGTGATGAAGACGATCCAGCTATTGGCATAGATGATACTGCCGCCGCTACTGATAACATTTGCCCTAAACCAGCTTTTGAATGTAAGAAATCAAAAAATAAACTTGGAACCTATCTCTCTAATCTTCGTTACATTCACCAAGAAAACAACACCCAAATTCAGCTTGCAGAAGACGATATTACGCAGCTTAACACCGTAATACAACAAACCGATGAGATTTTACAAAAACCAGAAACTACAGAAGAAGGCTTCGAATCCCAAATCAGTATAGTCAAAAATTTACTTGAAGAAACCAAAGCCAAGCTGCCTACCCTCAAATTTCGAAAAATGAAGCTCCAAAGTACCATAAATCGGCAACAATCTGAAAAAAGGTTAGCTAATGCTTTAAAAGCTAAATTTGGAGAAGATGCTGTTCTTGTCTTGGGTAACTGGTCTGCCTCTCACGTGAAATTCCATGAACCAACCAAAGGAAAAGGAATGCGCAAGATGCTCCGACACGAAGGATTTGAAGTCTTACTCATAGATGAATTCAATACTTCAAGCATCTGCCCTGAATGTAACTCGGATTTAAAAAAATTCAAAACTATAGAAAATCCTCGGCCATATAGAAGAAGTAAGATGCTGGAGGTTACATGTCATGGTTTGTTGAAGTATGAATATTGTATACAGATATTAGTAGTAGGCATATTTCATCTCACTCTCATATGTTTGTAGGTGTGTTAACAAAGATTGCTTAAAGATAGAAGGGAAAGACCGAGTATGGAATCGTGACCTTGCTGCTGTCCTCAACTTTCGCAAAATTCTCTTTTCGCTTCGAGAAACAGGTGATCGTCCAGAAGCTTTCAACAAAAGTAGAAAGGATGGAAATCGAAAAAGAAAACCTCCCACCAAAGAAAATAAAAGAACCAAAAGAACCAAACACAATTCCGCCTCAGTTATCGATGAGGCATCCACAGTACAGGGTAAGTTTTATATTATTTTGCACTTTTCTGATGAAAAACTAAATTTTTATTGTCTAATTTCCATATTTGTTTCGTCTAAAAAAGGTAAGCTAAGCATCTGAAAATTATTTTCATTCGTCTAGAAAAAAAAATAACACCATCTAATTTTAGGGTAAAATCCTGTAAAAATGCATGCTTTCAAAGCCCACTTTTGACGTGGTGTTCTGGATCTCGTTGCCCTTGGTGAGGTATATGAATTTCACATTCCGTCAAGTCAAACATTAGAAACGGACAAGTGGAAACATTTGATTGGCCAAGAAAGAATTATAAACTTTAAGCAGCCTGCGTAGCTCTTTTTCTCTTTTTTTCTTTAGTTTTAATCTTTTCTCCATTGGGTGGTGGTGAATTTCTTTTGTTTTGTTTAATAATGTCAGACATCAACAACAGCAACAACAGCAACAACAATACCGATCTTATTTCTGAATTCTTGTCCTTACCTGTTGACTTCAAAGTTGACCCTCTTGTTGTCCCTACAACTAAATCTGTTGTACGTTTAAAGAAGTCAAGAATATCATTGGAAGATAAAGATCAAAAGACAAAGGAAAGAATTTTACGGAACAGAGCAGCAGCACAAGAATCTAGAGATAAAAAGCGTAGATACGTTTCTGAACTAGAATCTAGCAACAAAAAACTATCTGAAGAAAATGAACAATTGAAAAAGAGGATCAAGACCTTGGAGGATCAACAGGCTTTAATAGCCTGTCAGTTCGAAGCCTTGCAAAAATTGAATCCTTTCTTGTTTAATGACTTTTGCGGTTCAGCACGGATCGTAAAGAAGGAAATGGTTTATTAAAGATTGAACTCACCCACCGTTTACAACTGCTGCCATATCACCACCACCCAATGGAAATATTTGCCTAAACCAACACTTCCTTTTCCCTGCAGTGGAGGTTATTAAACAAGGAGGATCCACAAGTGAACACAATTTGCTAGTGCCAACTAATATGTTACCATCACCTGTACTATCACCTTCTTTATCAACAGATGAAGATTCAGTGTATTCTCCAAGTAATCAAACAATTCCTCTGGATGATTTGCTAGATTGGGATGGTCAACAACAAGTCCTTCATGGTTCTTCTTAACTCCTTCTTTTTCTTTCTTTGCATATTATTCATTTTTACTTCATATTTACTCAATAAATTCATAATGCACAAAATTTTTCTATTGCTCAGCCTCTTTTATTAGTTCACATGAATTCATACAGACATTCCGCTGCAACAACTTGGTCCGAAAAAGGAAGTTATCACTATCACATGATTTGATTGCTTTTTTAAATGCTTTTCCAAAACCAACATCGAACCTGTGCGTCAAGCACTTGGTTGCTGAAAGTACACATTTTCCTTTTCTCATCTACTGAGCGTTTCTTTTCTTTAATCATCGTATAAACATTTTGAAATAACTTGGTAGAAAGCGGATCACCATATATAATCACAAGTCCATCGATGAGAATACATTTGATTGAAGGAGACGGTAGACGCACTCACAGTCTGCCAACAATGGAAGAAGTTGCCGCAATTATTCTTATTAAGCATTTTGACAGAAACTCCTGTGACATCGTTCTTAACTTGACGAGCACTAATATAAATGATGGTTTCCGTCAAGAACACGATTTTGAGCAGTACTTCCAACGTATCAGCCAGACACATGCTGCATACATGCCAACGCACTATGTACTGCTATTTCCTCATGAAACATATGGGCGACGTTGGAGTTTGCGTCTTTCCTTTTCTCTCTTTACCGCTACTTCTTCAATCACTGTTCCTGGTGCTTAGATGATGATTCGTGGTTACCTTGTGTCATTTTATTACCCTTATCCATCACTTTTATAAAGAAAATACTTTGAGGATCACAGCAAAATGTGCAATATGTCCAAAGTGAAATGCTTTTTTTCATTCAACAATCATTTTACTATAAAAAAACATGATTAATAAAAAAAAATGCTGTCAATCGTTAATTTAACATGACAAAGCTAACACAGTTGCTTTTCCTTATCCTTTTTTCTTTACTTCAACATAAAGCGAAAGAAAGGCGATGACTCTCTTCGCCTCCAAAGGCAAAGCGCAACAAAGGGAAAGCGATTTAAGCTATAAGGTTGATGCGATATTTATTAAGAGCTCATCACCCGTAGATCGCGGGTTCCCTTCTTTGTTTGTACAAATGCAAACAAGTTTATTCAAAAATACAGCTTTTGAAGCAAGTGATGATGATTTTCAAGAAGCTCCATTACTTAGAAAAGGTAAAGATGATATCTATAGTTCCATCTGTTTTATAACCGAATGCTGTAATAGATAAGAACATTCATACTACTTTGAAAGCTGCTAAAGAAGATACATCTGCTCCTGGTCCTTCAAATGTTGTTACCAGTAACAAGTCACCTATGTCTACAGTCAACAAAGATACGAGTGTTCAAGATGTATTACCTGCTCCTATTACTTCCACTAGCTGTACTTCTGCTTCCATTAAAAGCTCCAAAAAATATCAAGACAAGGTTGATAAGACTGAAACACTTAAAAAGGAAAAAGAAAAGAACAAGACGACAGCTAATGAGCAAAACAAGTACGATGTCATTCTTGCGATAAAACCGATCACTCTCGCTCCTCCAGCAAGTTGCGTCCTATGGATAAGTCAAAAGCGAAGCTTCCAAGGCCTAAAGATACCGTCGAGAAAACTTTTGTAATCAAGACATCTCTGGCTAATACTTGTAAATATCCCAAGTTCGTTACCTTGATTCAAGAAGTAGTTGATCATATTACTTAACTGGTATACACTGGCTCCATTTTTGCTAATTACTATTTCTTGAAACTTTTCGAGAATGGTGAAGAACTACCTGTAACTACTCCAAATCTGTTTTATAATATATTTTCCACCTTTGTTGGCCAAGAAAAACATGCCTTTGATAGTATCAAGAAGAGCTTCATGGCCTTTTGTGAATCTACTTCTCTTACTGAACCTGACTTGGATAAGTATGCAAGTAAAGGATATATGACCATTATTTCTCCTAAGGCTAATCAATACGAAGCATTGGTTCGCAACTATGTATGCTCTACTTACGAAGACAGGACTCTCAGACGTATTATTAATGTTTTATCAGAAAAGGCTTCTTTTTACTTCTGTGGTGATACCGTATCAGTCAAACAGCGCAAGTCTTTAGCAAAGCATATCTTTCAACAAAAGATAAACCCCAAGTTTGCCTGGTCATTCACTGTTGATCGAATAGAACGACATGAAACCATTCTCAATAGCTTTCTTACTTTCTGGTCAACGTACGATGCTTCCAATGATACCGATGTACCAAGTGAAGCTAATCTGTATACTAAACCTCAATGCTACATGAAATGGTTACACTCTATACAGAAAGAAATGAAACAAAAGAAGTCCATTCAAGAAATGAAATCTCAAGACAGAACATCAGGCAGTTATGTCCATCGAAAGTTACAAGAACTTCCTTTTGTCAAGAAGCTGAGTACAAGCAAGTACAGATCGCTAAAAGGAAACACCTTGACCGCTATCGATTCCAACAAGTCCTTGAAAATAGCAAGCAAGCTGAAGGACATTGATAAAATGGATGCCGCTACTGTTCAAACCTTTATCAAAACAGTACAAGCAAGAATTCAAGACAAGACCTTCATACCTCTCAGGCACACTGACCATCGAGAATCAAGGATATTTTTCTTCTCTTGTACAAGATTGATGCTCAAGCGTTCTGAAGACTTGTTCAGCAATTTGAAGACTTGATAATGAGTTAACTTTATGGTACATAGCCATGTTGTCACAACATAAGTAAAAGATATTGCAAGATGCTTCTGAAATCATCCCCATCATATTCTTAGGTAAACATAGTGTAAAACAATAGCATCTTTGGCTTCCTCTTCTATCCATGTATATGGTATTTGTTCATCTTTTGGTAATGCCATCGATGTTGCCCAAAGACGCAGGCATTTGTTATAATAAAATAGGATTATTGCATGACTTGTCACGATCGCTGCGATTGAGCATGGTACATCCTATAAAAATAACGTATTCTTTTTCAAGTCTTTTTTAAGATAAACATGACGCTCATTTATGATTTTGAAACAAATTAACTGATTAATGAGGAGAATTGTATCTTTATTAGCGTTGCATTATGCATAAGAAAATTAAAATGAACAAGTGTATTTATTGTTCTATGATGCGATTTAATTATTAAAAAAGAGTACTTGAGGACAAATATCATCAAATGACTAGCATTGGCATGAAAACTCTTTATTATCAGCATAGTTTTACATGTAATAGAGACAAGTTACAGGCTCATAATATTAGCTGACCAACTTTTAAGTGTACAGACGTATTGAGCTTGGCTTCTAGAAGATTGTATGTAGATTATTTTTTGGCACAGAGTTGTTTGTATTGACCATAGTGACTATTTGATCTTTAAGCTTCAGAAAGTGAAACAGATGCCATTGTTTTGAGATCAGAGCCAGATATACACGGATTCCATTATTCTTCTAGTTCTTTCCATTTCCTGATTATATCCATAAAGTTTCATCGTCCATTTCTTTGATTGATCTACGGGCCTGGTCATGTAAGCACTTTAAGAGGATCGATTCATCAAGCTATATGGGAATGATTAACAGCACACAAGAGTTGTGTAGACAATCCAGAAGACCATAATTGATCTGTGCTAGTGGTAGTCCATGAACGACGCCTCAATGCATGTGTTAGACCCTGTAGAAGACACAATCGACCCTCCTAAAGTGAATCCATAGACCGTACACGGGGCTAGCGTAGATACTCGAAAAGGTTACTGGCCTATGATGGATGAACATTCATGAACAACACGTTTGTTCAGTCATCAACGTATGAGCATGTTTAGCTAGGTTTAAAAAAATGAGAGAAAAAAAAAGATTAAAAAAGGGGGAAGGATCTATTTATCAAAAAATTTGATTTTATGCATTCACATACTTCTTTGTTTTCTTTTGTGTACACTCGTATGCTTCTTTGTTATCTTTTGTGTGCAATCATTTTGAAATTTTCATGCTAGTACTTTTCGCTTTTGGTTTAAATTTCTCTCAACAGGTCCTACTTCTTTGTCTAAAGGCACTTGATTCTCTTTGGAATGCAACTTAAGAGTCTCCAATAGAGTTTTTTTTTATCGTTCTTTTTTCATATTTCCTTTTTTGAAAAGAGTAACAAATAAAAAAGCATCAAGCACCACAGCCTTTACCGCTAATAGTTTCTTGTGCAAAAACACATAGAATGAAATTACTATTGATAGTGTATGGACAACATGTTTTTGGATATCAATATCTTTTCCTTTGAGGTAAGGTGCATGTCATCTATAACCTGTTCAAACCTTGTTCATCTTAATTTTTGAAATGCATTATTTTTTAGGAGAAGTGTATGAATATTTTTTATTGACAGCATATAATAAGCACCGTTGAAATTGCAAGATTCGAAAATTTAGCAATGATATCTCTGTTATTTTGCTCAGCATAGGCTTCAATTTATTGTCAGCACTTTTTGTAAAATAGTCTTATCTATTCATGATTTTTTGGATCAGCTGTACGTTTATTGATGTTTGCTTTTACTACTTACAGAGGACATCTTCACTTGGTTTATTAATTATCAATATCACCAATATTTTTAACAACTCAATCGTTAATAAATACATGTCTCAACAAACGCCTTCTAATAATATTTTTCTTGAAAAGTGTCATATTAACTCAGCTGTTAATAACGAAGAAAAGAGATAAATTTGTGTAATAATAGTGCATTGTATCCAATGATATGGCGCATATGGTTGTCGCAATTGAAGTCTGATACGTTAAATAGAAACCATAATAGCTCAACTTAGTACACTGTTGTTAAAAAACTGAGCAATACATTTTATTTATTAGTACTTTCTCTATGAAATATAGTTGTTGGCTTTTAAAATGTTGACCTTAAGATCAGCTATCAACTTTCGAAGATTTT